TAATGTAAACACATTGCAATAATATATGTAAACAACATTGTTTGGGGTGTCTCCCGTAAGACTATGGAGATTATTGGGGCTTCCCATTAATGAACAAGAACTTGATAATGTTTCTAGGCAGCTGCTTCCTTATTCATCAGTTGGAATTCTGTCCAACAGTTTTTCTCCAGCCTAAGGGATTTTTGTTTAATCATGGCAACCAATTTTTGGTAACTCATGAGAAACAGATGCTAACACTTAACATATTATTTTTGAACAATGAGAGACTCCTAAATCATAATACAGAAACAATAACAAGCATTATATTTATATAACCTATTTTAGCATCATTTTGAACATCATTTGACCAACTTGAGTGGAGGCATGTCTTTAATTTTGATGATATTTATCCATAAACAGAATTAAACTACAAACAAATGCTTTAAAAATTCAAAAATGCAAAAAGAAGAAAAAAATCTGTTGAGTTCAAATAAAACAGTTGTTTAGGGCTTGGACAGACAGACAAACAAAATATGCAGGACAAATCTGTTTATAATATCAGAGTGCACTCATATATATTTTTGGCCAAATTGAATTAATAGCTATTTCACAATTTTAGAAGCTTGTAATTATAAATAGACTAGTCAGAATTTTTGTAGGTCAGTTAGCAAAGATCTCTTATAAGAAGAATTTGGAAGGAACAAAAAGTAAATCCCCCCTACACACAGGAATGCGGGCAACTTTCATGTTCTTCTTTTATGTACTTCAAACTCAATCATCTCCACACCCTCTCTCAGATACTCAGACTTTCCTTTTATTCTAATAGCATTCTCTGTGTAAAACTTAATATAATTTGGGTTAATAATACCACTTATGGAGACTCCATTTGCTGGTACCAGTGATTTGTCTTTTGCTGGGACTACACCCCACCCCCGTGCTCCTAAGTTGTTATGACTACACCCAGTCAGCTCCCTGCCAGCTGTAGATGATACAGCCACTTGTGATATAAGAGCAATAGTCCAGACACATGGCTGATATTTCCTGTTGTAGCTCACACAACACAAAGCAGGCATTTGGATTCTTCCCATCTCTCTCATCCTGGCCAGGCTCCAGGCTTGGCAGAGCTCTTAATTTTCCACCTCCTGCTGCTGGTTTACACCCATCAGCCCTGTTCCCTCCCTGACCTAGGGGTCTGTGAGGAGTGGTGACAGAAGCAGAAAGTACTTGTTTCTCCCCATAAAATAACCCTTTAAAAGTCTGTAGAGGTCTAGGTAGATTTGTGCTGCTTTCTTTTTCCTCTAGCCTTGCTGTAAGCTGTTTTTCTACCTTCTCCCAAATATATAAATTTACAGTTTCTTCTTCTGAAAATCAAAAAGATTTCCCTTGAACAAACCCAAGAAATTTAGCAATCTGTGCAGTATTAATAGGCATTCCTCTAACTTTAAGCAGAGCTTTGAGAATATTAATAGATAAAGAATGAACTTCAGATTCTGAATCAAATTTGAACATTTTTGCTTTTAATAATGTAATAAGCATACTTATATATGACAGTGGCTCTCATGAACCCATTTGTCTCATGTTTTACACCTGACTAACTCAATTCATCTTCCTCCCCTTTTGTCTGTGTATGCAATTGGAGGGGATCCCTCACCTGCAACCTGATGTTTCCTCATACTCCTGTCTTGTTCTGGGCATCAATTGCTGCATCCAGTGAAGCTCATGAAACTCTGGAGGGAGGATGGTGAGGGATGAAGAACACAGGAGTCAATGTACAAAAGCTGGGGTCAGGTGGAGCCCTTTCTCCTGATGAGGGAAAGAACTTCCCAGCAACTGAAGCACTTTTATTTATACAATCAGCATATGAATAAGTTCATAGGAAGTTTAAGGATTTGAGACAGGAAGAATGTCTAATCTATTAGCAGAACAGCAAGTCTTGGGGACAAGAGAAAACTGTCTTTGTTATCTCAAGCAAAAGTAAGTCACTATGTACATCAGCTCCCTGAGCTTCTTATGGGGTTCTGCCAAGCTCATGAGAGGCAGTGGTCTTGCCCTACATACCCAAGGTACAGACAGCTTCTCCCCCTACAGAATCTGGTCAAAGCTGTGTTGTGTTTGATTATCTGTGTAAGCAGTGATTGAAATCACGAGACAACCTGCTGTCACAGTGTGGGTCAGTCCTAGGGAACTCCCTGAGCACCTGTTTCCAGGCCCATGTTCAATTGCACACCATGCTTTTCTGTCAGAACGAACACCCCAGGCACTCTTCAATTCTGAAGTTACTAAGAGAGGTAGACAGAAGCAGTGGCAGGTTTCAGGTAGTTTAAGTGGTCATGAAACTTCTTGTGACAGCATTTGTGCTGGTCAGTTCTCCATTTGTTCTCACACCAAAGCCCTGCCTCCCCACTGGCCTGTGCTGCGTTACGGGAAGTACTTTTCCTCGAGCCTCTGGGGAGGTGGTCAGCAGCAGACATTGCCAGGTGACTGGATGGTAGAGGAACAGTGAGTATACATGTCCCCATGACACCCGCCACATGCCCTCCATGATTGCAGCTTCCCCTGGAAAGACAGGTGTTGGTCCCAGTTCATCTGCTTCCAGGCCTCTGGTCACTGATAACCATTTCCTTCTTGGTCACTTTCGGTCTAGGAACTGTCGACCCATGTGGACCAAGCTAACTTGCCCTCATTTGGAAATTGCTTGATTTTTATTATGAGACTGAGTTTACTACAAGTTGTGCATTGAGGAGAAAAAAAAAGTGCTTGCCCCCTGTCAACAGAAAATTATCTCTGTCCTGGAAGAAGGTGTAGTAGGGAGGGCACTGCTATTAAGACATAAGCACTAACGTTTGTTAAGAAAAATGGGATTCACAAGTACATTCACATGCATTATCTGCAACTCACTGTGGGCTGATACTGATTGTGCACAAAATGCTAAAATGAAACTGATGTATGAGTCTTATGTTATCATTCACATCTGTTCTGAAGTATTTGTGGACTGTCACTGAAAAAAAATAAAGAGAAAATCAGTTTTCCTTATTTCTCGAATTAGGGCAATTGCTTCTCATCTGTCTTATGTATGACAGTGGTTTTGTCTCTGAACATAAGTGATGACTTTAAAAGCTCATGAGATAATGGTGGAAGCAGTTGAAACCATTCCACATTCTAAGCTGTGGAATTGTGAGAATCCAGCCACCGGATACTCACTGGAATATTTTTTAAATAGTAAGACACAGTTACACTGTCTCTCTCCTAGACCCTCAGTATTCGCTCATGTAAACTGTTCATAAAGACAGGAAACATCAACCTTTTATACAAACTTGAAGACACATTCTGCCTAAATGTATCTTATCTTCAAATTGTTAGGGCACATAATTGTGACCAAGGATACAAAGCAAGATGAATAAATCTAAACTATGTAATTCCAGATGTTTTAATTTTACGAATCCTAGCAATTTCTTTTAGAAGCAGTGTTTATAGACCTTGTCAAAACCTACATAAAGTCTAAAATTTTGGGTGATTTTTAGCTGTTGAATTTTGACCTCAGAATATCACCTTTCTAAATTATTATTGGTTTGCTGATATTATTTGATTTGATTTGATTACTACATATTTTCAGTACATGATGTTTATTTACTTTCATCTTAGGGAGTGGGCATACATACTGGATATAGCTTGATTCTTTTTATTCCCCACACACCTCCCTGCCTGTGTCTGGATTCACTTGCCCCATTTTCATTAGTATTGTCTGCTTTATAATTCATGTTTGGGACATATAATGACTACATGAATTGTGAGTGTTTGGCACATGTACATGAGCCATCTTAAATCTGTTTATGTTCCCTTGCTTTCTTCCCCTTCACCCACCCTTGGTCTCTTGGTCCCCTTTTCATTTGCAAAAGAAATTTCAAATATTGTTCCCATAATATTTATTTCCTCTGTTTTCCAATTGATTCTCTATTACATGGGTTATTTGCTCAATACACTCTAATCTCTACTTACATATTCAGAAAGAGGAGATAGTAAGAATGTGTTTATCAAAGTTAAGATTTATCTCCCTCATTTTTTTCTTCCCTTTTACGCTCTTCATCTGGTGCTAGTTTGCCAAAAATAAAAAAATAAAATAAAATAAATAAATAAATAAACCTACTGTTTCTTGCTTACACAACTTATGTGCCCTTTTTGGCAAGTGGATTCCTTGAAGTTTCACTTTCTGACAATGTTGAAAGTTTAACAAATCGTCTGCATGTCCTGTAACACATCTGATTGTCTGGCAAAGTTACTAGGGTTTTCTTACATAGATCCCATGCCACACAATTGACTTGGAGAACTGGATTGTAACAGCAAGGAGTTTCCTTGGGCTACTGAAGAATACAAGCTTCCTCTCACTAACAGAAATTTCCAAAGGAACTAAAAAGTGTCGTTAAGCTGAAACTAATTCTCTCCCTTCCTTTAAGGAACAAGTGCCTCTTCTGTTGCCCATAGTAGTTTCTCTTTGTATCTTGAAAGTCATCGGTACCATTGACAGACCTGTCTCTCTGTTTTGTCCAAACCAGTGTTTTATTTTGCTCCTTTGCAGTGTTTCTTCCTTTTGCAAAAGCATTTAATTATTTAGCCCAGAACTGATGCTTCAACTTACAAGAAAAATGTTACCACTAACTCAAACATCTTCTGGACTCCTTCCCTGAAATGTAAAATTTGTTGTACCAAAGCTCCTATACTTTAAAATGTGATTGTACTATATCATTCAAAAGTTGAATTGTTTGAAGAATGATCATTTTAATTATGTATATAGTTTGCTCATATAAAGAGTGGTCCTAATATTTTCCTTCAGTGAATGTGTCTATTTTTTATTCATTAGAGAAAGTCTCAGTATAGTTGATCCTGGAAAATATTTAAGCATTTTCTAGGAACTGAAATACATAATTTTTAATATAGACTACTTTGATGAATTAAACTAGCTACTTTATAAACATATTCCATGGAATTAATACAATAATATAACATACGGATTACCACATTTTCAGAATACCAGGGTCCGTCATGGTGTCTCGCCCCAGCAGACAAAGGAATGTGTCGAGCTAATGAAACAAGATTCTTCTACAATTCAGTCCTTGAAAAGTGCCTTCCCTTTAAGTACAGTGGGTGTGGGGGAAACGAAAATAATTTTGATTCTAAAAGAGCGTGTGTTAAAGCATGTCAAAAAGGTAGGAAGATAATCTTTCCACTAATTCAATACTGTTTAGGATAATAACTGCATTAAAATTGTTGATGATTTTAATCTTTAAAATAATAATTATTACATTTATTTTAAAAATATGATTTAGTTCATAAATATCTCTTCAATTAGATTTATATAGTATATATTGCAGAATATATTAACTGTACTTGTTACTTATGTATTGTCATAAACACAAATCAAGACACATTCAACATTTTATTAAACATTTAAATATGAAGAATTTGTTTTAAAGGAACATACAAAAATTTCCTTATGCTTTATTACAAATTACCAAATTTTGCCATATGTATTTTCTTCTGAATAAGACAATGTTTATAATCAAATGGAAAAATCATGAAAATGTGAATAAAAATCATCTGTAATTCCAGCAACAGTGCACAGACTTATTTCTACTTTTAAAAATAAGCGTAGGTTTTTAACTGTAAAATGACAGTCTTACCCTATTTTTTATTAAGTCACATACTCAAAGTGACTTTATTAGATGTAAGCTTTTCTACAAAAAAACACATTAGAGGCTTTTAATCCAGTTGTATCACTTACATTGTTTAATATGGGAAGATAATTTGAGGAAATTTGCAGTAAAATTCATAAATTTTTTGCTTTTCCTCTTGTAGGTTTCATCAAAAGAAAGTCAAAAGAAGGGCTAATTAAAACCAGAAGGAGAAGAAGAAAGCAGAGAGTGAAAATAGTGTTTAAACCTGTTGTGAAAAAAATATAAATCTGTTATACTATTAGAATATTGATTCTCCTCTTTAGTAGAATTACGTGAAGTGTTTCACTATAACTTTTCTTTTCCTTTTGTTAAGATACTTTCAGTGACTGTGACATAAGATTGTAAGGTCTGCTCTTCCCAAGTACTTGGTAGTAATACATGAATATCAGATCCTTTTCTAATATGATCCAATTGCTCCTTTTGGGTATAATTTATTAACTGTCTACTGTGAATTTATTTTTTTGATCATTTCTATTTGCTGTTTTAATATGAATTATCATATTCCGAGCCATATGAAGTGATTTTTTTCTCCATTTGACAGCCATGTATTTGAGAATAAGTTGTGATTTATTTGTAACAGTCATGTATGTAATACCATCCTTTGATCAGGTTAAGAAATGTGATTATTAACAAACAAGCAGTTTTGGATTGCACACCTAAAATGGTGACAAACACCTGCTTCTGATGCTGATCACTCAATTTTGCATGTAGAGAAAAAGGAAACAGCTGTCTTAAGTGCTTCCTTCCATAGATACATTTTCTTTTCTTCTTTTGTACTAAGCAATACCTCCATGAATACTGAGCCAAGCTCTTAGGTACAAATCTTACCTATGTGAGCAATAGAAAAACCTCCACTTTTCCCGTATGTGCTGAAGACAAGAATTCACAGTACTCAGAAATTCTATGTATGTAAGCAGTAAGGAAATACCTTCAGATGTTCCAGTTTCCTTCAAAAAATGAAAAAAATTCAGAGGGGGAACACTTTATGTTTGTAGAGAAAAGCCTTGACTCATTCTACTTTTCTGAATACATTCCACCTGTGTTCAATACATGGAAAGAAACCCTAACTACAGGATGGCAAAACCTTCATTACTGTATCACCTGTTTAAAATGCATGAGAACGCATAACGGAGTGGAGGCAACATTGGGGGGTGTGGGAAACCTATTCATCTTGCTTTTCTTCACAGATTTAAATAAATAAATATGCAAGCAAAAAAAAAAAAAAGAATAGTCAGCTCTGCATTATGTGTCTGCTTTATTTTGATTGGCTTACCTTGGAAGAGTGCCTGATGGTGACTCAATATGTCAGTCAAGATGGAAAACAATTGTGTTAGATTCAGGTCATGATAAGAAACATGGAAACACTTCATTAAAAGGAAATTCATTGTATGGCCTTCCTAATTTTACTTTTTGACAAAATTTTCTCTGACCAAAAATAGCAAGCATATAAAAACCTCCTGATTCCACATTTGTCCTTAGGTTTTGCACCAGCCATAACCAGTAACTAATGCTCGAAAACACACTTATTCCTGTAGCAGAGGTATTACCCAGGTGGAAGATTCTACTAGAAAATCTGTGTGCTGTTTACTCAGAGGTCGCTAATATTTCTCCAGCATTAATTCCCTATAGCTGTCCTTCTCCACTGAGCACATGCAGTCCCTCAAATCGGCAGCCTCCTGGACATTTGGTTTATTGAGTGTTCAGTTCCTGTGTAAATCTGAGCTTGGCATCTAGAAAAACATGAACGACCCCCTCACCATTTGGTTTAGCATCTTAATTTCTCTCTAGCAACAATATTATAGTTCAGCCTTGAAGGTTTGCACTGTTTTGATGTTGTATTGTTTTTCAAAGACCATACTCATCAAATGAGTCCCCAAATCCTCTCAGTTCCTTTTTCATATGGTTTGTCCATCCCCCAGGCTTTTTGCTCTGTACTGTGTCCTGGTCCATGAGCACTGAGTCAATTCCTCTGAAATATATTTCTCCACCACTCAACATCTTCCAAGAACTTACTAGTTTGTATAAACCCCAAATTCTCATCCTACAACTCCTTAACAATTAATTAATTAATAAACATTTTTGATTACTCAGTTTATTTACCCATGCTGAATTTCTCTTTAAAAATCTGACACATTCCACAACTTTCATTTAAACTCAGGGTTCAGGGGCTGGGGATTTAGCTCAGCAGCAAAGCGCTTGCCTGGCAAGCTCAAGGTCGTGAGTTCGGTTCCCGGTACCAGAGAAAAACCAAAAATAAATAAATAAATAAACTCAGGGTTCAGCTGATATCCGTTTCAAGATGGCTATGAAAAGTCCTAATGTGAACTACAAATTATTTTCATCCTGCAGTGCAACAATTATTTCATAAGAAAAGTAGCAGCAACCTGTTTGGCTTAAGGCTTCTTTTTTTCTTTTGAAACAGAGCTACTATTTATTGGGCTTCTAGGGTGTGCCAAGGTAAATGGTCTCCATAGACATATCTGCTCCTGTGATTTTTCATTATTTCAAATGTCCAGAACACAAATAATTTGCCTTAAACTAGGTCTTTCTATGGAATTTGAAACACTTGGAAATCAAAACCCCTTGTGAGAGAGGTATGCTCTGCTGTCTTTTTTTTTCCATGAAGAACATTAGCGTTAATTAAGAGGAATGTGTCCTTATGTGTCAAGTTTCCACCAAGGACATATAAACAGCACATGCATGCGTTAGCTAATTTTATCAAAAAATAAGCATTCACTTGCTCATTACTTAGTCAATAAACAGATACACAGATGGTGTGCAGTGTTTCCTGCAGGTGAAAATTATTTTACTGTGTTTTAAATAAGAATTCTCTGATGATGTGGTCTTCCTGTATTTTGCAGATGCATCTAACTGTGAATGTTACACAGAATTTCACTATACAGCATACACATGTTGTACTTTGTGATCTGTATTCAAAATTTACAGTTTATGCTGGTAATGGTTCAAATGATTTTATTTTTACATTGTAATAAGTAAAATTTCTAATCCTGAGTAATAAACTTGACTTGTACTCTTGAAGTTTTTAGTAATTACTTAGTACTAAAGAATTCGATGTTCTTTATCACACAGATATAGAATTCTGAAACAAACCAAAAATTGTTCTCCTGCATTCACTCTTCTTTTAGTCACAGAAATTGAAATTTGCTAATTATCTCCTTTGAATTCCGAAAGCACATCCACATGCTGTGATTTCTTACTTGTCAAGAAACTAGAATGCTAGGATTTAAACATCTATATTTCTATGTTTATTCTGCTACAGTTATATTTACATTAATCACATTAGATAACTGTATTTACATAGTTGTATAAATATAAACATTATTTAAACACCTATTACACAACCATACATTATACAGTTGGCTTCCAATCCTGACAACTGTAGGCAGTCAGGCTCATCTCCACAACCAGAAGGAAGAAAATGACACAAAATTAGCCAATTACTTAGACAGGTTGTTAGTTCTTTCATTAGTTTTTCCTATTCTTCTCCCATTTTTTTCTTTGTTTTTTGTTTTGATTTTTTTCCAGTATCAGGAATCAAACTCATGACCTTGCGTTTGCCAGGCAGGCGCTGTGCCGCTGAGCTAAATCCCCAGCCCTTCCTCTCCCGTGTTTTTATGAAACTAGCACTCAGGTTTGGTTTTTCAAATTTTGCCTATCAGTCCTGTTTTTCTCAGGGACTTTATCTTGGGCACAACAGGGTTGTATTTTCTGCATCCTGATGTGTCAATTCCTTGGCTCACCCTTTGAACTATTCCAACAGCATAGCAAATCTTTTGGCTAGACTTACTCAGAGCCTTTTTACACTGAGGATTTAAATAATAGTGGTGCAAAGTAATTTCCTTTACAAGAAGAGAAATAGGGAAAAGGAGTCAGGGAAAGGACAAAGAGGTAGAAAGGAAAGAAGGGTAGGGAAGAGCAAATGATATAGAGTTGATAGGATGAGGGGAAGAGAAGTGAAGTGATTTTAAACGTATATGGGCCTGGGGATTTAGCTCAGCGGCACAGCATCTGCCTGGCAAGCACAAGGTCGTGAGTTCGATTCGCAGTACCGGAAAAAAAAAAATAAATAAATAAGAAAAAGAACTGTATAATGTGCAATTAGTAAAGCAGAGCAATCTGATAATGAATATAATTTCCTCATCAGTTGGTCGTGGGTAACAAATTTGAATCACAAAAAGAAAGGACCAAAGGTAGCTAACTTCAGTATGGATAGATTTGGTGCCTTTAAACTTCATTTCCTAGTCTCACAGTGCTTCAAGATGACTTCCAAAATTTAAAGCCCACATCCTTTCAAGATTGTCTTGTAAAACAGCTTGAGTTCTCTCACCTTTAAAAATTGAATTAATATACTGATATCATGTTCACTGACTCTCGTCTTATGGCCAACATTGATACAAATACCACCCCAAAAGAAATATAACTTTCTCCCTGATCAGGTTGGACTGGAAAATCCACTCCCAGATATCTGTTTGGTTTCTCAAACTTGTGGTCTTGCTGGAAAGCCTAGAATTAGAATGAGGCAAGTGAGGTAATCACTTCAGACATATTTAAGGAAACACTTTAAAAAGTCAATAAGCAAAATAAATAATACTGCAATGTACCATTTTTCAAAAACCAAAATCAGAGCAACAACTCATGTTGAACAAACAATAAAAATCTGTAGAAAGACAGGAAAAGTAAATGCATCTGAACTCTGAGGCAAAAAGAAAAACTAGCAATACACTAATGGTATATTAAGAAATGCAAAGATATTTCAAATGTGGTCATTCTTTAGTAGAATGAAAACTGCTGACATAAAAATTAAAGGATTAATTACCATTCCAATAGATGAAGAGAAACAATTTGATAAACATTTGTTTCATGATTACACTACAATAAATAGAGAAGAGACCGGTGAGTCTGATGATAGATATCTACTAAAAACATACAAAATTACTCAGTGGTCAGATGTTTAAAACATTTCTACTCAAGTTAAGAACAGAATGAAAATGCTCTCCATTTATCTTTTCAATTCAACATATCCAGTCTCAATTTTATAGCCAAAATAAAGAAAAGAAACATAAATCAGGTATAAATATTGTGTCACATTTATAATACATTTACCACAATTCAAAATCCAAGATAGTCTGAAAGATGTATCACTGTAATATCATGTTGTTAACTCTTTTAAGAAAATAATTTGTAGGGAAATGGGTGCATCTTGAAACCATAATGCCAAGTAAATAAATCAGACAAAGAAGATTGAATATTGCCTGATTTCTCTTGTATAAGACATCCAAAAGAGGCTGGGAATATAGCTCAGCGGCACCAGCGCCTGCCTGGCAAGCACAAGGTCCTGAGTTCGATCCCCAGTACCAAAAAAAAAATTTTTTTAATTAAAAAAAAAAAAGACATCCAAAAGATAATGGAAAGAGCAAATATAAAATGATGAGAAACACGGAGGTAGACTTTGGGAATCTAGAGTTGATAGGATGAGGGGAAGAGAAGTGAAGTGATTATGATTTGATATGTAGATGTACCACCTCCCTGAGAGCAATGTAGCTGTTATGTAAACATGTACTAACAAAAAAGAAACATGAAAAGATCAAATATCAATATGCGGTGAGCAAACAAAAAGAGTAGAAATATTTGTAATTAAAAGACAAAATTAGGGTCGTTCTGGCTGGAGTAAAGTAGCCATTCTCAGCAGCCCGTTTTCCTTCAAAACTAGCCAAAGCCAGGGCTGATACTGAAGTCTATACTGACCATACCTACAATTTCCTTTTCTCAGTGACTGATTTGTTTCCAAACCTCAATAGGTCTTATGAGATGCTGCCGTAGTTTGGGGTTTTGGCAAAGGGGAACAATATAATACAGGACACACAGTTTATAAGATTTATAATAGCCACCCAAAGAATCCGGTACAGAATGCAGGAAATCTGTCCACACACTAAAGACCAAGGTATCCAGGTAAGGGCCTGGATCCCACGGTAATGTCCTGCGTGAGTTCAACTGAAGATCTAGGGCCATAACAGTGTCTCCCATGAGTGCAGCTGGAGGCCTAGAGCCCATGACAATGTCTCCTGCAGGCCTGTTTCATGGATCTGCGCTGGGAAGGCCCAAAGGTCAGTGGTGGAAGCTAGAAAGTCTGTGCCAGCAGGATGAAGGATCTGTGCTAGCAGGCTAAGGGATATAAACTAGGAAGCCAGGAAGCAATGTTCAAAGCAAAAACCAGAGCTCAGCCGAAAAGTACCACAGCCATCCTCAGCAACAGTGAGGTCCCAAGCTCCTCCAAAGATGAGGAAAACTGAGTTCCCATCAAGAAAGCCAACATGACGAGCTCTTCCAAGAGAACCAACAGCTCCTTATAGCTTCTAACAGCTCCCAACAGCTTCTACCAGCTCCCAGCAGCCTCGCTTCTTCTCCCGTTCTGCCTCTTATGCTGTTGGCAACAATCCTCAGGTGGGCCTCCCTCACCCAGCACAGTGCTGGTTCAGTTCAGCTGGGATTACAAGTTGACAGATGCTCCCAAGATGATACTACACGGGGAGCCCCACTTGCTCTGAGAGACTCTGAGTACCTTAACTCTGAGGTTTTCTCAAGGACCCAAATCATTGTTTGAAACAATTCAGCATTTTCTCCCTTGAGTTTACATTATCTCAAGAAAAGAATACAAGCCTTTCTAATTTATGCTAGGTGATCAAGGGATTTCAGGCTCATGAAAACACTGACATGATTTTGAAAGTATTCATTCTCTTTTTAATCCATTCTTAAATGGGCTAACAAAATTAACTGAGGATACATTGAATAGAACTAGAGTTTTCTAGTACCAATATTTTACTTCCATCCACAATTTATCCTGGTGAGTTTGAAGTCTTACCTATGGCCAAAATTGACCAACTCTTGTCAGCATTTCTGATGATGTGCCCTTCCTCATTTAGACAACATCAGCCAAAATAGCGTTCTTGAGGTTATTATTCATTTTTTATCTGTGTCTTCACAAAAGATACACTTCTAATTTACTGAACTCTTCCTCCAAGTCTGAAAACAAAGGAAACTGCTACTTCCTTCTTAGGCAGTTTTTAAATTCAGAAAGCAAGACCTTAGACATTCCCATAGTGTTTCATTTTTAACGTAGCCCCATTCTTAACAGAATGTTCTGTGAAAGTTGCAAATCACTATAGGGGAAAGCTGAGAGATTCAAAATGAGATTGATTCAAAATTCAAAATTAGGTAGCTGTAAGCTACCTAACTGATCCATGGTGCCGAGAAGTTGCTACTCCAGAGATGAAGAATTAAACAATGGACATTTTTACCCAAAATACCTGCCACTGCTTGGTAAGAAAGTGTTTAGAATTGTAAAGCTAAATCTATGTTAGGAAACTTTTTATTTAATTGTTTACATATCTGCTTTATTTTTCTCTTTCACAAACTATACACACAAATACCCACAGACTCACACCACATCAAGCCTGTCTTTACCAGCTGACAGTACTCTATCAAACACAAGTGAAATATATTTCAAAGACTAAGAAAAAAAAACACTAAATCAAGTATAATAAACATATAACATAGGATTTGGATTCAAATTACTTGACGTTTAGATAATAAGTTTGTGTCTACTCTCTTTTAACACCATCATGAGGGAAGCAATTATGAGAGCAAATGGGAACCCGTACGTGAAGTCTTTAGCATATTATTCACTACATTAAAATGGCAGCTGTTATTACTTTAGTTCATGGATTATTTCTTCGTTCAAAGTTTTAGAATAGAGCCTCTTTAAACTATAACAATATATACTCAGTGAATATTGAGTAGAAATATTTTCTCTACTCAATAAAGTAGAAATTTAAGGAAATTTGTAATTAATTTTAAAATTAATAGAAAGTAGAAATTTAAGGAAATTTGTAATTAATTTTCTAAAAAAGTAGAAATTTAAGGAAATTTGTAATTAATTTTCTTTGCTAGGATACTTCTATAAAGTGAGAGATGATTACATATATGATGTCATTCTGCTGTCAAAAGATTAACTGAAGAAA